GAGAGAAGAGAGAGGGAGTAATATAGAGAATAGATCATAGAGAATAGAGGAGACAGACAGACAGACAGACAGACAGACAGACAGACAGACAGACAGACAGACAGACAGACAGACAGAGCTCGGAGGCAGTGAATGCCAATCACCCCATCCCACGTCATGTCTCCGCGCCGAGCCGATGGTAACATCAATATGGCGCCGATACCGCGGTGTCGTCCGATCGCCGCCGGCCGGTATTTGCATGCACCTGCAGCCGCCCGTGCTCTCCGGCCTGATGGCCTGTCGCGGTACTCGATACAGCGTCAGAGATCAGCCGCGGTCACAGCCGTCGGCCAGCATTGGTAACAGGCGTAAAAGGCGCGCCGGGCCCGTGTTCGATGAATGTGTGACAGCAAGTGGTGAGGTGGAACAAAGTGTCAGGCGCCTGGTTCGAAAACTTTTCATGCATGATGAGATGTGCGATTTAATGACAGATTTGAGATTCCTTTTCTGTTCTTTTTTCAAACAATCGTGAAGAGTTGTCACGATTTCTGCAGGCTCAGCGTCCGCCGCGGTCTGTGCAATCTGACCGCAGTGTTCATTTGTCGGTGCTACGGCCGGGCTGTTGCAGCGTGCGGTCGGGTGTCACCTGCCCGGAGGTGTCACGAACCGGGCACTCTATCTGCAACATCGCCTGACGCGTCCGCTCAGAGAACGGCCAGCTACACAGGTGATTAGGCCTCATCACGCCAGACGGGCTCGTTATGGGAGCGGGCCCACAAGGACGCGGAGCGGGGGGAGCGGAGCTGCCACGCTTCACAGCCAGCTGGCAGATGACGGCTCTAAAGCCACCCTGCACTTCATAACGTATACCTATACAAAGCCGCACCTTTTTACAAAAGCACTTTTATGGCAATAGCTGATGGTGTCTTGTATTGAGCTGGCGGCATCTGTTCCTCCACCTTTTTGCTGTTGGAGAACAAAGCAATTTCTTTCACCCGTGCGAAATGCCGTTGTTCTGTAAGATCTCGTTGAAGAACAGCCATATCCTACAAACTATAGCATAACAACATACGTTATTATTATAACAACCGACGTTATTGCTATACTAGCAAATAACCAATGTCGTAACTGTCCACCATTGGGCATGAACTTTACCTGAGACTTCTTGCAATCTCAGATATCTATTCCGAATACTCCGTTTCTCAGCCATCGTTTTAGACGACCCTCTGACGGAAGAATGCATATATTGACTTCAGGTGTCACCGTGCGCGCGTTTACCCCACCTTTGGCTGTTGACGTCAATACCAGGCTCTCTCTTTCCAAAGGCCAAATCAAAACCAACATCCAGTTTCCACTTCAAAGGCCCAATCAACACTCGCGTATCCGTTCACCTACAGAACGGTGTTGATACACGATACGGGAGCGGTTGGTTTGGGATGCAAAATATGTTCTCCAACATCCACCAAAATAACACAGAACGTGTCTTGATAAATTGTGAGAAACAACATGAGGAGGTAACAAGAGGTTCCCAGGTACGCATGACACTAAAAAAAAAAAAAAAACATTAATACCGATCGATTGTAACTGGATTACGTTAAGTGCCTTGCATATTTTGTTTTCAGTCGCATCATGTAAATTTAGTCATCTGCTGCCATTGTTGAGGCAAATTGTAATTGAATCGATTAGCTTGATGTAATGTGATGTGCTTAGATGGATTCATTTAACTAAAATGCGTCAGCTGTCTAGAACATGCCAGAGTAACCGGATATATTGGGTAAGAAATAAAGCATAACTGAATTATTGAAATCATACCCTGTGAGACTCGCTGTAAATGCTGCAGATAATTGCTGAAGAAACACAATTCGACACATATATGGACGACGGGCTACTGTAATAACCTTGAACAGACTTCTACTGAGCCTGTTGAACAGCAGCATGGATTCACAATCCGCGACATTTCTTAGAAATACCTACAACCAACTTGTTTGTCGCACGACCGTCTTGGAATGGAAACGATCCATAAATATCCAGAAACATACGTGTACCATAGTGTAATAAATAACATAGTGTTAACATAGTGTTATTTATTACACTATGCGTGTACCAAGACTAGCATAAATACACCCAACCCAATCCAGAGGATTGTCCGAGAATCAATAAGCGAAGGGTTCACTGGGTTTGGGTTCCACGAGTGCAAACACTGCCATCGGTCAGCTACAGCGCGGCTCACATCGTCTGGCTCTATCTAAGAACCGACCCCAGTCTGAACGATCTACGGGCACACATCGCTTCGGCCTTCGGTCAATGTGCAAACGGCGGCCAATAACTCCTTCGTTCTCCGAACCGCCAGCACCAGACAGCAAAAGTCATCCATTCCACGGCACGGACATGTGTATGAACAGTCGGCCGGACTTGGAGTGCTCTACATGTCGCCGTTCCACTTGACATTGTCATATTGCAGCGTGACACAGCTCCGGCCGTCGGGCACAAGGTGCATGGTGGCACAGCAAGGCCATATGCAAACACGGCACATGCAAATGGTCGGACCCATGGGCGTCAATTATGGCTCCCCGCCGCGGCGCGCCGGGATCGCCACCTCGGGCGCCGCCCGTAATAGCCACGGTCGAGCGAAGGGCTCACCGTGGCGCGCGTCGGCCGGCCGATTTTCATTAGAGGACGGTGGGAGAGAGGGTGCGTCGCCCGCCGCGCTGCCCACCTGTGTTATTTATGGACTAGCGTCCCGATCAGACTGTGATTGCGGTGTGGCATATTGATGGGTCCACATGTGCCAACGGAGGGTTTGGTCAGTTGAACCGCCCACCTCAGCCGCAAAAAGTTGGCCACACAGTGGAATGCGGTGAGCTAGCACGAGCATGGCTGTTACGTGTAAGAGTCATGGCGCTGGCCACCACTAATTTATCAATTACGAGTTCACAGAATGGCGCTCTGAAACACGCGCTGCACCTCATGAATTTTAATTCCTCTGTGGTCTTTATGAAACCGCCCAGTATCTCTGTTTCACCACAAAGAGCATTCATAGAGCGGGAGCACACGGTACGACGAGGCGCTGATAACTCGGAGAGGCGCCGATAGTTCGGTGGCGTGCCGATCCTAACCTCAGTCCGTCTCTCCCGACCCTGTCTCCCCGACCGGCCGGTATGTTAATCCCCGTACCGATACCGTGTTCCCGGACATTACAGCTCACGATTCGCGGCACTGGCCGTGCAACTGCGGCCCGCACGTGCAGCTCCCCCGCGCCACGGGACCGGGCCGGCGTCCGGTGATAGCGCGGACAGCAGCAAAATAACGTGTTGCTGCAGCGTTTATAGCACACGCGAGCAGGGCAAGGCGCGGGAAAGTGACATGTCTGGAAAATGTTAGTACCAATTTAGAATGTCTGTAGACGTGCTGAGTTGTTGCAACGACAATAAAAATGATATTACCGTGAGGGATAAGGTCATTAATGTCTTGTATCATGGCATGATGTCTTATGAGCTAAGAAATAACTTGAATCAGAAACCTTAAACTTTTTATCATTTGAACATGACAAAGCTACTGAAGGTCATCTACGAGATATAGCGCAGGCGGTCAGGACAGTTGACGGACTTCGCACTTCGCAGGAATGCGTGCTGTGTTCAGCGTCTGCAGTTATAATGTTCATCTTAGCCGGGAAACGTGAAAATACTAAATACTTTAGCTGGTTAAGCGTCAAATGTTAAAGAAATAAATTTTAAATATATGAAGAAAACTTGGTGTGGTATGCCTAAAAAAAAGTTGAGTTGACCGTATTATGATTTTGATTTAAACAGAAAGTTTATGAAAGTCACGATTCACCCTGTAGCTCATAGCAGTAGCATCTGTCGTTACTGTTGAAACGAAAAAGGAGAGCTAAATAACACCAGAATGCGTGATGTAGCTGAATTTCACATTCACTTGCACAATCTTTGCCATTTAATTTTGCGAAACAATACAAAGAATTACAAATTCAACAGCAGGCATAATTCTTGGTAGTGGTTAACCTCTATGGTAGAGTGAAAACATTTTCGTTCCTGTTGTGGTGTTACATGCCTAAAATGTCTGATGACATAGGAGAAGGTCAAGCAAATATCCACTCCTTTTCCAGATATTTTGTGCCACGGTCGCCTAAAATACAACTCCTGGACAAATAATACCGCTGGACAAATGTCGTGACATACACAACCCCGGCAGGATTTACAAAGCATGCGACTTCACTTGAGGCATCACTGTGCAATATGCAATAGACAACTTTGAAAGGTTACAACATTGTGACACGACATCTTCCGTCGCATACATATCTTCCAGGACCGGACGTCGGTGATACTTACTACACATCTGTCTGTGCATATGACACATAGCCACCGGCACTGTCGGGCATGTGTCAATCAATATCTGTTGAACTTTTGAGTCTCACAATAGAGACGCCCACGTCCGGTTACACCGGGGTGTGCCGTGTGACAGCTATAAATGCCCAGTGCAACTCTTCATTACACTTTTTTTTACAGAAGTTCAGGTTTTATTACTGGCACAGTCGGTGCACTTCTGATGTTGCCAATCGTTGAGGAGATTGAGGGGACGGCGGCTGTTCCAGTGACCTCACACTAGGGGATAACGTCGGCCGTTCGACCGGCTAGTTTATATCCGAATAAAGAACTCGGCTCCACTAAGTTGTGGCGACGAATTGGGACAGAGTCGCTAGATAGCAGTGGTCAGAACTCAGAGGGCGGAGAAATTCCTCAGGGTGAGACACTATTTAGGGGTTCGATGCTGGTGAGCATCTCAAGCAAATCTTCCAGCCAGCAGCAAAAAAAGGTATCGTCACAATATGACGACAAACTGGGGTAAAACCACGTATTTACATAATTACAACAAAACCTAAATAAGGCCTAGTGAACAACCATTTGAAGCACAATCAATTACCAACACGACTGCAAGAAACAAGACCTGCACCGACACCACAAACAACTCAACAACACCGACCATCAGGCTCAGTATCATCTCACCTTGCACGACGAGTCTGATGAGTCCTCCAGCGTCGACCCTGCCGTTCACCTTGCAGACGTACTCTCCACTATCCTCCACCTTGACGGGCTCGTACTGCAGCGACAGCGAGTCGTCCAGCAGGCGCACGCGGCCGTGTTTGTGGAACACGGTGGTGACGCCGTCCTGCCAGTGCAGCAGACGCGTCTCGATCGCCGCCTCGGCTGACACGATGATGCTCTCCATGCAGCCATAGCAGAGCCAGGTGAGTTCCGAGATCCGTGACCGGTCCAGGCCGGTCAGGCCCGAGCACGGCAGCGTCACCCCCGTCCGCGCCTTGGTGAACAGAGGGATACTCTGGCTCCAGCAGCCTGTGAAATAGAGGAGCTAACTGAATTTGTCTGTTTGCTGGAAGACGGAGAGACGGTCTTTTTCCTTAAGTAGGAGCACCTGTTACATTCACAGGCCTGAATCATCGTTATCAGTAATGTTGACAGATTAATCACACTCGAATCAATTACGATTAAGCTCAGCCACGCGCGCGCTCTTTTTCTAGTGCCTCTTCCATTTTCGTCTCATTGAGCAGACACCCTGGCACACAGAAACCCAGCTCGCCGTCGCTAATGACCTCATTAAGGCTGGCGTCTGGCGAGCCGGCCGCGGCCGCTGTCCGGCGAACCTGACGCGTTCTCAGGTGATGATGGACGCGGCCGGCACGCCGAGCCGACACGGCCGCCCTCGGACCGCGCCGACCGCCGCCGCGTCGGCCCCGACGACCCTCCGTCGGCCCCGACGGTCCCGCGGGGCGCGGTCGGGCCGAGAGCGCGGCGCCGGCAAAAGTCGCGAGGAGTGGCGACCAGGGGAGCCGGCGGCACCGCGATCGATTATCTAACGTCGGCCACTGAGAGAAGAACGGCGAACGGTGCCTCCGGCTATCTGATGCGTCGGCCGCGTGACGCCCCGCGGGCGCCGCCGCGCCGGGGGCGCCGGCCGGGGCGCCCGCAGGGAGACGCGCCCGAGGAACAAAGGGGTGCACTGTTTGCCCGCGCGCGCGCCGCCCGCACCAGGCAGGCTGGACTGATTTAATTTGGCGTGGAGCACCAGGGCCCATAAAGGGGAATTTAGTAACATTGGTCGAGGGAAGAGGTCGCCAATGTTTCGATACAGAAGCGCCAAGCCGTAACGAAAACAGAGGGGAGTGCCACAAGTGATGCGCCACCCCTGCTAGTTTATTGGTGTGGTAAACAATAACAGGCTATCGGTATTCGGCGTAGGGTCCCTAAAATGTAAAGAGCAACTTTTTTCAGCGCATGCAAAGCAGTTTTGCCTGAATTGCAATCCTGTGCATTTTAATATTAAGATTAGATACACTGAGGAAGTATGCATTGTTCATTAGATTTGAGGATTGATTTAAACATTATTTCAAGCGCTTGAACACCTGGTGAAACATTATGTGCATATCTTTGCTAACTCCTGGAGCGTTTGATCATCAAAAGCGACAGATATGTGCCTAATATTTTGGGCCCGTGCTGAGTGTAGAGACGTCGACTATGGGATCCAGGATGGAATGTCTGTCATCTTCATAATGCATGGGACGGTGAATAACGCGGCGGTGCGGTGGTCCACTGTTGGCTCATTTTGCAAATGGAGTTAACCGGCGGCGAGTTCGTGCATCGCTCAACCAATCTACGCAGAGACAACAGTGACCCGGCCCGGCCAGGCCCGGCCATAGATGTTACACAGAAAACGGAATACAGCTTGACGGCGGTATTTTGGAGCTCCAGCACAAAAGCGCACGTAAAAGTTGAGCGTTTGATCATGTTGCAAACTTTGGCACTGGATTAAAAACAGACGATTCTCAGCAGTTGGACGGTCCAGTTCCACGGACACCAGTATCCTGTTAAGTTTGCAATACAGCTCCAATTATAACTTATGCGGTGTGCGTCCCAAGACACCGAGCCAGACCCAGAGCATGGTCCGCATCAGTCACTGCTCAGTCAACTTTGAGTCTGCTCAGCGAGCCTGATGGTCTATTCAGCCGGCAGCCGGGCGGCTCAAAGGTCAGTTTTCCGCTGGCCGGCTGGCTGCAGTGTAATTTTAGCCGCCGCCAATCCCCGTGTCGTCCGTCCGTGTCCGTCTGTGACGCCGTCTCCGTCCCTGTCCCCGGGTGGATCCAATTAAGCAGCCGTTTATTGCGCCCGCTCTCTTTGACAGTGAACTGGGCGGAGCTGATCAAACGGCTGCGCACTCGTCCAATTTGCCTCGTCTGGTGACACGGTGCCTTGGTTCTGCCTTGGTTCTGGGAGTTCTGGGATAGGTCGGGGAGCTTTTGTCGGCGGATACGCATGTCTCGAAATACACAGCAGAGTCGTAAACCGGCTCATCGCATTCAAAGCCCACACGCGATAAATCTCTTGAGTAAGTGCGCTCACCATAGACATGATCCTTTTCAAACTACTGAATTGGTTCTATCAATGCTTCTGTCACCACAGCTTCTGTCTGTTTTTTCCTTTGTCAGCGCCATGGTAGCCCGGCGTTAGGTCAAATCCCACAAAGCCGGCAGCTCGATGCGGCCGCTGATTAGCGATTTATTGCTCCGTGCTGCTCCCCCGCCAGCGCAGTCGGCCAGGCAGAAGGGCTCTCTAACGAGTCACCCGTTGTCATGGAGATGAGAGCGTGGCCAGCGCGCATCCGTCGCCTGGGGTGATTGAGGTGAGATTGTGCTCGGCTGCCACTGTCCGTTCTGCCGGGCGGCAGCGGCGGCGCCAGGCGCGGTGGGAGGATGTCATATTATAGCCCACATCAGACACCCATTGTCGCTGCTCCGCGGGATAAAACTGAATAATTTATACACTACACAGCTCATCTGCCATCCTATGGCGTCGACCCCTATCACCCCTCCCTGGATCCGCCCCTGCGCTCCGACCCGCAGTCAATCGGAGGCGCGCGGAGGGCACCGGACAAAACAAAATCGCCGGCCGACCCGCGGACCCACCGCTGGGGGGGGGGGGGGGGGCGCTCTTTGTGATGCAGACGAGCCGCGGCCCGACCGCACCGTCAGCCAAATCGTACAATCAATTGGCTCGTTCTGACCGCATCCGGTGCAGTCATCGACGACCTGTCCCTCTGTGAATGGCCGGCGGGGCGGCGGCGGGGCGCCAGTCAGTTGATATGACCGCAATCCATATGCGTTTTCCGGCGTGGCTTTATGTGCGTGAGACGGGGGCGCCGACGAGTCAGCTGGACGGAGGGTGACGGCGGCTCTCATGGCCCCGCGTGTCCCAGGGGGCCGTCGTTCTGACGTCGCTGGGACGGGAGGGTATGGAGGGGGCGGGGGGGGGGGCAGTCGACAGAGGCGTCGCAGCTTCATGCCCTGGAGCTGTCCAGGGGCGCGGGAACTACTTTCCGACTGGGGGGACACACCATAATAGAGATCAACCTAGGGTACCCCCAAATCTAGTTTTCTCACCGGTTTTAGGCCACTTGTTTTTCATCCCTCGGCTTTTTCAACAAAAAAGAAAACATTTGCAAAAAAAGTGTGGTATTCCGTCTCAAAGCTGTGGGGGCACCGCCCCCACGGCCCCAGAGTTGGGGGGGGGGGGCAAGCTGCCCCCACTGCCCCCCCGGCTCCCGCGCCTATGGAGCTGTCTGCAGCAGCCGTGGCCGCACCATTCCACTGCTATGACCGACATAAACCGCACACCGAGGCGACAACAATGCTTCATAAGGTGGCGAGCGCGGCGAGTGGCGGCGGCCGGCGGCGCGCCGACCCGTACCGCCCACTAATTACGAGCAGAACATTGGGCCGCCGAGAGCGGGCCGCAGCGCTAACTTGTGCAGACGGCGCGCATCGCACCGCCGGCCGCAACAGCTGATTGTATGCAAATGACGTCAGTGGGGCGCACGGCGAGAACGCGCCGCCCGGCCGCGTCAATTGCGCCAACACCTGCCTGCGCCAAATTTGTCCTCATTAGAGAGGTAATAGGATAAATGGCTGTGGTCGTTGCATTAAACATAAGCGTCTCGCAGGCCTGTGGACGGGGCGCTGATGTGTTGCAGAGTCTGCCCCGGGGCGGGCGAGGGGGAATGCGCCTGGACCGTATCGCAGATGGTGATGCTATAGTTCCTGGGAAGTCTCGCACCCTACTTATAGCGTCATAGCTTTTGTGCATGGTATTTTACTCGGAAAAGTACGTAAAATATGCAGGAGAAAGGTAACGATGACATGCACCTTAATTCACAAAATGTTCTGCCACGTTTCAATGGGAAGGTTGCCAAACCAAACAGCAACAGGCAGGAAGCAGGAACAGCAGGAAGAAATTACATGAATCCATGAGCGATTGACAGTGTGAGACGCACATTCACTTGGCTAATCTGTAACACTGGCCAGGCGGTAAGGTATGGTCTTGCGTGAGATCGAGGGCGAGGCGCTCCCTGACCTGACTTGACCACTCAACGGGTCACCGCGGGAAAGGAAGCGCTAGGACGCATCTTAGTGAGAAAGGTGGCTGACATGTCAAAACGGTAGTGGCCGAATTAGGAACTCTTGCAGCACATACGTTTGTTGAGCTTTTGACCAGTCATATACGTGTATCTGTACCTACTAGGGGAGAGCGGGGAGAGTTGTATCATGTCCAAGCTGTATCAGGGCGAATTGTGCCAAACTAATCCAATAGATGGCGCTCGTGACACGACCAGCCGACGAGGTTTTCCGGCCGCCATCTTTCCCTGTTCTGTCGTGTGGCTGGGTGGACGCGTCTCGAGGTGAGAGCCGATTTTATGTTTTTTTAATGTCATTCTAAAAAAATAAGTTGCAAGAAAATGTGTGTTTTGGGCAATTAGATGTGCACGAATTTGAAAGATCTCCGTAGCGGTGGTGAGGGTAGGTTCGAAGGCTGCGTGAGTGAAAATGGATTTCTCCAGCTGTCCGCTGTTTTTGAGCACGAGGATGTTTTTTCCAAGATGGCGGCGAGGTACATGTTGTATCAGAGCCGGGTGGGGTATGTTGTAACATGTATATATGTATGTATGTATGGGCATGTTGCTTTTGATCGCGAAAGCTAAGCCCTGGCTCGCGTTTGTAGGTAGCTAGTCCATACTCGTTCCATTCAAGGGCGGATCCAGCCGGCCGTCTTGGGGGGGGGGGGGGGGGCAACCGGTTGGGACTAGCCAAACCTAGGGTACCCCCAAATCTAGTTTTCTCACCGGTTTTAGGCCACTTATTTTTCACCCTTCGCCTTTTCATCGAAAAAAAAACGAAACGAAAACATTTGCAAAAAGTGAGATATTTTGTCTCAGCTGAGTCAAGGAACTACCTTTTTGGTAACGTAGAATAAAGGCTTAAATCTTCCACATGAGCTGTGAAGCCAGGTAAAGAGGGGGATTTTTTCTTAAATGTTTTCTTCCCTTTAGTATTCCTTTGTGACCCACAACCGCTAATTCAGGGAGGGCAAGCTGCCCCGACGGTTCCTAGCCCTATGAAAAGTTGTGGGGCAGCGCCCCCACGGCCCCAGAGTTGTGGGGGCAGGCTGCCCCCACTGACCCCCAGCTCCCGCGCCCATGACCACAAAGTTCAGGCCCATGGCCCGGCGTCGAGCTCATATTCAGACTCGGCAATGTTGATGGTGTGTCCGAGTTCAGACAAGCTGAGCTTATGCTGGGTTCAGCTAGGACGATTGAAGAGGTATCCTGTTGGGCTAAATGCCGGACAATCTCAAGCTCTAATTTTGCATTTAATGCTTAATTATCCTACTATGTTGGGTGAAAACTACCCATGTGTCATTAAGTATAACTTCAAATAGTGGGTTTAGTTAGTGACATATGGTGGAGCATTAGGGGTTTTAGGGGTGCATATGCACCCCCTAACTGAATAAAGCGCCTTCTCAAAATGACGCTTGAAACACTTCAAAAACAAGTACAGGTAAGGGGAAATTGTGTCTTCCTCTGTTAACCCTCCCCCGTATAGGGGGAGGAGTCGAACAGACCCCACCCCCCTCGGTTTTTCGCGAATAACTCGTGTAAAAACGGCTAATCGCGACGAAACTTTCAGTACCCTCGAGTTAATCAATTTTGCATCTACCCTGAAACTTTGATTACCCTGACCCAAGTGACCTTTGACCTGTGACCTATTTCTCGAGACCATGTTTGGCCGGGATCGCGATTCGGCGTATGTTGGCTCGCATTAGCCGCGCGTTTGCAGTCTTTTCGTGGTTTCAAGCGTTCAAACATGTGATATGATGTTGGTCCCATGCATTTGGATGGGTTTGAAGGTCACCTGAAGATCAGGTCAGGTCATTGACCTTTGATGACCTCAGTTCACTTTTTCGAGTTTTACCTGTTTCTAGGCTAGTTTTTGGAGCTGAACTCGAATTCAGCAACCATTTGAACATTTACGAAGTACTTTTGGTGCCTTCGTAACATGTTACGAAGCTGTCAGAGGTGGTTGACAAGTACTACGAACACCCGGCAGGACCACTACTGGTTGACCTGACCCGACCTGGCCTAAATGCATGAAGACATCTTCTGGGATCAACACTAACACGATATTCGTGATCAGCACCCCGGAAAAGCTCAGCCACACTTACGACGCTCTAACAGGTCCCAATTTTCCCGACTTTTGGGTCATTGACCTCACCTGGAAGGTCAACCATGAACCAATGACCTAGGACCTTAAATTGGGTATCATCGTCTTCCTCTCGTCACGGGCAGCACGCTCGTTTTTTTTCGCGAAGCTCTAGCTCGATCAGCGGCCAAACGGCAATGGGGGCAACGCCCCCCCCCCCTATACGTTCGCGGCTGACAAAACGCCAATACGGGCGAGGTTTAAATCCATATACATTCAGGCATATGACAAGAAAGCTCCTGTTTAATAGTGTTAATGAACTATGAAGAAGCTTCAGCTATTAAGAAGCTTCTGAAATCTCTCAAGCTGAAGTTGAATATACTCAGTGTTGTTATGATCATTCCTCAGTTTTCTGACAAGAATCACACAGTTGGCCATGGCAAACGTTGAAAATACCCTTTTCTTTAAAAAAAGTGCCTCATGACAATCTTATTTTCCAACAAATTTGCAATTAAAACCAACCAGTACACAATACAGAACACGTGCCTATGAATGCGAATAACAATGTGATATCATGTCAATTTCTCCTACATGTTAACCTTCGCCGGCACAGGCCATTTTGACTCTGGTTGGCAGAGTTTTTCACGTTTGCCCCAAGGTCACTCAATCATCAAAGCAATATTTCAGTTTTTCAGCATAGGAACTTTGAGAATGTTTATTTTTTAGTTTTCTTGACTTATGTCTTGGGGGGGGGGGCAAAAGATAGTATGGCCCCCCCTTTGACCGTCTTGGGGGGGGGCATGGCCCCGTTGGCCCCCCCTTGGATCCGCCCTTGGTTCCATTTCGGCACAATGTGTTGGCTTCTTTGCTCTTAACGGGCCACTTTTGCGTCTAGTCTGTTGATGTTTCGTTCGTTTCGATGTTTCGTTCGGATTGACCTAAGTTTGGTCTAATAAAAGTGAAGCCTTTGAGCATATACATTGTATTAACCCCATTTAATGTTGTTGTTATGTTCAAAACCAGTAGCAAGCATGGGCGTAGGAACCTCACGAAAAGTGGGGGGGCCAGCGAAACTTCAATGTCACTTTGTGGGAGCCCCAATACCCCTATGAAGAAATTCTTTGCAGTTTTGTGCTCATCTCACCTTGCTGAATCATTTCCTGCTCTTAGTTTTGTATTTAAATAAAAAATAAAGATTTTACTTTAAAAAATGGCTAAAAAGTGGGGGGCCATGGCCCCCCCGGCCCCCCCTGTTCCTACGCCTATGGTAGCAAGCACACTCCTTGAAACGTGAAATAGTGATACAAATTACCCCACCATGTGATACAACTCACCCAAGCCATGGGGCAAGTTGTATCAAAAACATTGTTCTATTCGGCAGACCGTAGAAGAAAAACTGGTAGAGGTAGCGGAAAAGTTACTTTGCACAAAAAAGCAGAAGAATCAAGGAAGGAGATTGTTAGCGCCGCACGGCCCCCAGCGGCGGTGCCGTTGCGACGCCGCTCAGCGGCGGTGCCCTCCGCCTATGGTTGCTGAGCTATGTTGCTATGGTTACCGGATTGTTTGTTTTGTTTACTTTCTTTCGGCTCGATTTTGACAATGTCTGGATAGAATCTGAATAATTACGAAAGATAAAGACGAAAGATGTGATTGATGACTTGCAAAAATGTTGTTTGAGTGAAAAGGAAGAATTTTGACTATGAATTCAAGCATGAACACTGTTCGTTACGCCGGAGAGTGACAATTTGTCGGTAAGCATTAAATCGTACCAAATGTCGGATGTTATTGTGGAGCGCTTTGCTTATTATTCTGAAATTATCGTGATACGACTGAACAATGTTATGATACGGATGTATTTGTCTGGAACTTACCTTGTTTTGTTTGTGTGTATGCGTGTTTTAGTTACGGCTCAAGGCTCCTGGCTCCTGCCTCCTGTTGTACGAGGCTCTGCTGGCGGTACGCGGCTGACTCAGGCTCAGGCCGTTAGCGCTGGAAGAAGGAGGAGGAATGGAGGAGAAAATATAGAGGACTGAGAGCCCGTGAACGACGTTTCTTTTGACGGCGCGCGAACATTAGTAACGACAAATTTCAAGAAAGCGACTTCAAGAACGGCAGCGGAAACGGCGAGTTCTCCTGCGCCATCAGACTTCAAGTTCTACAACGCGATAAGTGCCACAATGCCACTAGTTTCAGCAGCTTGCTTTGATGCTGTCGCCATTTGCGCATTGCATTGCCTACCAGATAAACTCTTGCTTTGAAAAACACTATTCGTCAGTGTTAATGTTCGTGGAACATTCGCGTTTGTTGACTGTTGCCGTTGGTACGACTGGCAGCCTGCACCGACTGCACCAGAAGTACGAGTGTACCATTGGTACTAAATGGTACTGATGATCAGTGTTGCCATGTTGAACTGTTGCCATTGGTACAAGTGCAGTGTACCCATGTTGTGCATAGAACGGTGTTGCCGTTGGTACGTTTTGCAGCATGGCCAGATATAACCTGATCGACGCATGTTGTGTACGGTACGGTGCTGCCTTACATTTTGCCGCCAGGGAATGTGAACTTTGATGATAGGCTTGATTTGGTACAACATGATGTTGCCTTGGTACGTTTCACAGCCAGGCAATATGAGCTTTGACAATGGGTTTGTTTTGGTACCATATGATGCTGCCATTGGTAGGTACATTTGACAGTCAGACGATTTGAACATTGACAGTTATATGCTTCTTGGGTACAATATGGTACTGCCATTGGTACATTTCGCGGAACATTGACACGAGATGCACCCGACTATGACAGCTGCTGTTTATCAGTGCTGAACACATTTGGCATTACGCTTTCACATGCACATACGTATATTAACATACATCAGCCATGGACATTGACATCGAGAAACTGGTAGTGCGGGACCTGAAGCGTGAACTGGACGCCCGCGGAGAAGATTCCAGAGGGACCAAAGCTGTTCTGAAGGAGCGGTTGGCGCAAGTTCTGAGAGAAGAGGCGTGCTACAAGAAAGCGGTGATGCCCGATGAAGATGCAAGAAGTCAAGCCGATGTTGATCCAGAGACGATCGCAAGAAAGGAAGCGTTTCAGATGGACGTAAGAAGTCACGATGGTACTGATGCAAGATCAGTCAAGTCTACGTCCAGCAGAGCATCTGTCACGTCACAGAGAGCTACTGAAGCGGCCAGATTAGCCGGGCTGAAGGCGAAGATGAATGCATTGAAGCAGAAACATGAACTTGAGGAACAGATAGAAAACTTGCGCAGAAAACAAGAGGAAGTGCAACTGCTGGCTGAACTAAAGGAGTGTGAAGCCAAAGAAGCTGTGCTGGCACGATTTGAAGCACTTGAACGTGAAGAAGACGATGAAGTTGGAAATGAACATAAGCAAGATGATGAAACACATGAAAGTGAACAAGATGAAATGAAACATGACAAGAAACAAGACAAAGAAACGAAAGAAGACAGACATGCAGGTGCAGGAAGAGCATCTCATGACAAGTCGGCTGGCTCAGTTCAGCAAATGGATCTCAACACAACGGACAGGCTGGTGATGAGAAGAATCGGACTTCAGTCATTGGAGTTACGTGCGTTTGATGGAACCGAAGAAGACTTTCTACCATTCATCACAGCTTTCCAGTCTAACATTGCATGTAGGCTGGACAGGGAAGAAGAGAAGCTGATGTACCTGTTGCAGCTGACCAAAGGTAAGCCTCATGACATTGTAGCCACCTGCGTCTACCTGGGTGATGATGGTTACAGTGAAGCTATTCGTCTACTCAAGGTGAGATATGACAATGCGATGAAGTCCAGAGCATCAGTGATCGAGAAGATTCAAAACTACCCGCGCGTGAGATATGAAGATGTGAACGGCCTTGATGACTACTCAGTGTTTCTGCGAGGTGCTCTCAACGCTCTTCACTCACCTGCTCTGGCAGACAGTGGGTTTGATTCATGGATGATCTGCCAGGCCATTCAGAAGACGCCGTGGGTCGCTGATCGCTGGCGCAGAGCGGTCGACAGGATCGAACAGGATCAGAGACGAGACAGAAGAGAAGACGGAGAAAGGAAGAGGACTGACCAGAGGCAGGTCAGTTTCAGAGACTTCGTCGAGTTCATCGAATCAGAAGCAAGAATCGCGTCAAACCCTGTCTATGGAAGACATGTGCTCAGTGCTCAAGAGAAGAAGGACACGCGACCACAAGCCACGACCGTGCAGAAAGCACAGCAGCCTGCAAGAAAGGAGATGAAGAATCGGGAGCATCAGCTCCGCCAAGAACGAAGAAGTCGAGCTTACGCAAGCAACATGAAGCAACCGGCCAAGTGTGCCTACTGCGAGCATCCTCATGACCTGGAGACTTGCAGAGCTTTCGGGGCGAAGACTGAGGAAGAGAAGACTGACTACATACGTCAACATGGACTATGTTTCGGCTGCTTACAGGAAGGACATATCTCCAAGAACTGTCAGAAACGAAGCCGCTGTAAGAAGTGCGAGAAGTCGCATCCTACAAGTATGCACAGAGATGCGCTGCCCAACGCCAACGTCGTGACGGCAGGACATGTGTCACAAGAGTGTGAAGGCGGTGGAAAGCTGCAGGTGCTTCCAGTATCAGCCAACGTCAAGGAACGGTCCGTGCTGACTGGAGCCTTCATAGATCCTGGCAGTACGCACTCATTCATCTCACGTAAGCTGGCAAGTCAGTTAGGCATTCAACCAGACGAGAAGACATATGTAGTCATGTCCACCATCAATGGAGAGCGAAGAATGAAGACCTCGTTGGTCACTGGTGTCAGTATTGGAACTGAAGATGGTGGCAACCAAGTTGAACTTCCAGCGTTGTATGTTCTAGAGCACATACCGGTGGAAAAGCAAGACATCGTACGACAAGAAGACATCAGCAAGTGGCCACATCTCCGACAACGTGGAGTTGAAGCTGGTTTTACTAAGAAGACGACATCAAGAGAGATCGGCCTGCTCATCGGTGCAAACGCCAGCGTGGTGTCAGAACCATTGGAAGTGGTGAGCTGCCCAGGCCAGAAGGGCCCCTACGCCGTCAGAACCAGATACGGTTGGCTGGTCTGTGGCGTTGAGGGGAAGAGGGGACCAGGTGCACACGTCGCGCGTGTCAACCGCATCAAGATGCTGGAAGATCCCGAGCTCGAGTTCCTTGACAGCCATGATAGTCGCAGAGGCTACTCAGTCGAGGACGTCAAGTGGTGCCTCAAGGTGGAAGATACATGCAAGAAGGACGGAGAGAAGTACGAAATCGGTCTGCCATTCCGAGATGCGAAACCCGATCTGCCAGACAACAGAGTGATGGCAGCAAGACGACTGGAATCACTGAGAAGAAAGTTCGAGAAGGATCCAAGATATGCAGCTGACTACAAGGAGCAGATGAAGAAGCTTCTGGATGAAGGATATGCTGAGGAAGCAGCACCAGACTCAGAAGAAGGAAAGGAAGAGCGCTGGTATATCCCGCACCATGGGGTGTATCACCCGACCAAAAACAAGCTTAGAGTAGTTTTTGATTGCAGCGCGTCATACAATGGAGTGAGTCTAAATGACGTACTCATGCAAGGCCCGAACCTGACGAACTCCCTGGTGGACGTGCTAGTCCGCTTCCGACAAGAGACGGTAGCCTTTACCGGTGACATCGAGTCCATGTTTCTTCAGGTGATGGTACCGGAGAGCGACAGGAACTATCTGAGCTTCCTGTGGTGGCCAGAAGGCGACACTTCTTCAACACCACGTGTCTTCAGGATGACAAGACATCTGTTCGGAGCGACATCCAGTCCCAGTTGCGCGAACTACGCTCTTCATCGGACGGCAGAAGACTTCGGCACAGGATACACCCCCGAAGTGAAGAAGACACTGCAAAGAAGTTTCTATGTGGATGACGTATGCCAATCGACGACGTCAGAAGCCTCCGCTGCGAAGATGGCGCAGGACCTGAAGCAGCTGTGCAGCATGGGTGGCTTCCGACTCACGAAGTTCAACTCCAACAGCACCGAAGTTCTGAGAGCGCTATCAGAAGATGACAAGGGAAAGACTGAAACTCACCTTGGACAGGAAACCTCTTCAAGCGAGAGAGTCTTAGGTGTACTCTGGGATACTCACAGGGATGAGCTTGGATTCAGCATCGACGTAGACGCTCTCAACAGAAGACCACGTACTCGACGCGGAATACTCTCCGCGACCGCAGCCTGTTACGACCCGTTAGGCCTGGCTGCTCCTCGCGTTCTTCAAGGACGGATGATTCTTCAGGAACTGACGCGTCTACGAACCGGCTGGGACGATGACATTCCCAATGAAGTTGAAGAAGAATGGAACAGATGGCTGAGTGGGTTGAAGTCCCTGCCAGACGTTCGCGTGCCAAGATGTTATGATCCGTATGGCATAAGTGCCGCGGATGCAGTGAGTCTGCACCACTTCAGTGACGCCAGTCTGAAGGGCTATGGCACCGCGTCATACATACGCACTGTGCGCGGAGATGGTGAAGTGTTCTGTTCCCTGGTTCTTAGCCGAGGCCGAGTCGCTCCGCTCAAAGCGATTACGGTCCCGCGTCTTGAACTAGCCGCAGCCAAGCTTGCCGTAGACGTGAACCAAGAGCTCTTGCGAGCACTGGACATGAGGATCCATGACGTCACCTTTTGGACGGATAGCACGACCGTGTTGCGTTACATCGAGAACGAGACCTCGCGCTATCACATCTATGTGGCGAATCGACTTGCTGCGATACACGCTGGATCGAAGAACGAACAGTGGCGGTACGTACCCTCGTCGCTGAATCCTGCTGACATGGTTTCAAGAGGAGTACTGCAAGACAGCGACATGTGGTACAACGGCCCGCCATTTCTCAGGAGCTCACAGGAGAATTGGCCAAGGTCTCCGTGCGTCGGTGAGATTCACCCGGATGACCCGGAAGTGAAGCAAGCGAAGACAAGTTCGGCAGCTGTCGTTGTGCAGAACGAGAAGGCTGACAACTCCAGCGCCAATCCCATCGATCGTCTGATTGAATATCATTCGTCATGGAAGAGACTCACGAGAGCGGTGGCATGGATCCGCCGAACGATCAAGACTCTGCAGCTGAAGGCCAGAGACGAGCAGGGAGCCTCGAATGTGAGGGAGCTCACTCCTGCTGACATAGAAGATGCCGAGAGGATCATCGTGAAGCATGTTCAGAAAACTCATTTTCTGCAAGAACTGACTGACCTGGGAGTGGGACGTGAGGTGCGATGTGCCAGTCGTCTGTCGCGGCTGAGCCCATTCGTGGAGGACGGTCTCATCAGGATGCGCGGACGCTTGATGAACTCTGCGTTGGACTGGGCTGCCAAACATCCTCTGATTCTCCCAGACAAGGACAAGGTAACTGACCTGATCATCGCTGATCGTCACGAGAGGGCAGGACACGAAGGACGCCAGTATGTTCTTTCTGAACTCAGGACTCGATACTGGGTACTGAAAGGGAACAGCGCAGTACGACGGTGTTTGCACAGATGTGTGAAGTGCAGAAGACGACAGCGCCCAGTTGAGGGACAGAAGATGGCAGACTTGCCACAGGATCGTGTAGAGGAGGCCACTCACCCGTTCAGTAACACTGGTGTAGATTACTTCGGGCCGCTATACGCCAAGAGAGGTAGAGGTCAGGTGAAGAAGTTTGGAGTCATTTTCACATGCCTCAGCACGAGAGCCGTGCATCTCGAGCTCGCAGACAACCTTTCTGCGGACTCATTCATTTGTGCCTTGCGCCGCTTCATTGCAAGACGCGGGAACGTTCGCCTGATGCGTTCCGACAGGGGAACGAACTTCACAGCAGCAGACAAGCAGGGCTGGGAAAAATGCTGAATCTGCTACATACCAGATATTACGAGAAACTCTTATTAGCTACATTGCCACAAATGTTCCTCACATCATTTCTGCTAAAGAAAATGATTTTACAAGTCAATAGAAATTCTGGACAGAACTTTCCGCACTACCATTTTCTACCTTTTCTCAAAGTGAGCTTTAAATGCTTTGATTTAGTTGGCTGCACGCACAAAAAAGATACAGTGTCTTGCTTCTGCCCCCTGTGAATGTTCTTTTTCTTATTTCTTACTCTTTGTAGGAAGCATACAAATACCAAAATAAGGTGCTGTGGGGTTTTCTCAGGGCAAGTTCCAGCACCCCCCGGAGCACCAGGAAGCTCCAGTGAGCCCTAGAATTTTCCTATCAGCATCCCAGCACCTTTAGGATTCAGAAGGTATTAGCCTACTCAGGCAGAAAGTATTTGAAAGAAATCAGGTTGATTTGGCTAATCAGTCTGGTCAACAATTTACAATCATTGTGCATGCCGAACCCGCTGTACAAATGTTGCCAGTTGTCACCTATCAAGGTTTAGAGGTAACATAATAATTGAACATTAAAGAAGTAAATAAAATATTCTTTTCTGGGCGTTACTTGATCAATATTTCAATCAGATCTCACCTTCTGCGCAAATCCGATCATATCTCCCTATATCTTCACATCTTGCTTTGCGTGCTGGGCGGCTACCTTGCTCTTTAACTGGGTACTGCACGCCGCTATACGGACAGTTGTCATTACAGCACTTGAAATTAGGCCTGTAACATCCCACTTCCCCAAACTAGAGGCAAAATGAAAGATACACTTGCCGAAATGAAGCAAAAACACCCAGAAACACTCTTCGAAACCCATCAAACTACCCACGCGAAACGACAACTAGAATGGTCTCTAATGCGCCAGAAACAACGCAGCAACCAAACCATTGAACCAAACACACAAACGTAAATGATGTTTTTGTATATTTTTGTAAATGTTTCTTAATGTTACTTACAAATGAAGGTTTATTGGTGCTTTGTTACTCGTATTCTTTTCAAATATATATAATTCAAAGAAAAAATACACTAGAAACTGACAAAAAATATTGTATGACGTCATCAAAAAGAATTAAAGACGTTGCAGGATACTGCTTCATAAAAGATGGCTTTTTAGAGCTGTCATGGGCAAAATGAGTTGATTCTTTTCGTATTTTTATTGGTCATTGAACAATTCCCTTTTTTAGACAATTTGTTTTGTTTCGTAAATATGTCGTTGCAATATTTCACAAATAATAAAATTTCTTTTTGCAATATTTATAAGAAAGATAGCGCATAAAAAGGCGTAGCAGATACCTTTAGCTACACGACTCAGAGTATGAAGAATTAGTGAAAGCTACACTGGAAACTGCTACAAAGAGCGGCCAGATTCGTTATAAAATGGAGCACAAAGCTGACGTTTGGAACTTGTCTTGGCTTTACATCTATGTTTTGTTCATATTCGCCGACGAGATCACTGACCGGTGGTACCTCTATTTTGAAAATGTGCGAATTTTGATGTTTTTATTGTATTTTTCTTTATGATCTACGGAAGAGAGAAATGCTGATTTTGCTACAATTGATGGAACAATAAGCCGATATCTGCTACCTACTGGGGTATGAAAGTATGAGGGATTTCCCAGCCCTGCAGACAAGGAGCTGAAGGAAGAAGTTGATGCACTGCACGCGAACGAAGAGAAGTTGAGGAGAGCGATGCTGGACAAGGGCATCGAGTGGATGTTCAACGTTCCTGCCGCTTCCCACCACGGCGGTGTGTGGGAGCGTCTCATCAGAGGCGTCCGGAAGATCCTGAATGGTCTGTTAACCAGCCAAACATTCACAGAAGAGACGTTGCACACACTCTTGTGCGAAACCGAGTGCATCATGAACAATCGGCCGCTGGTGCCGGTTTCGTCGGACCCTCGTGACGAGGTGCCTCTGACTCCGAATCACATCCTGCATTTGAAGTGTGTGACACCGGTATGTGATTCTTCAAGTGAAGATGACCTGGATGGACCCAAGAGATGGCGACAAGCTGCTTACCTAGCTGAGCAGTTTTGGCGTTCGTGGAGACGGCTATACTTGCCTCTCCTGCAGCAGCGATCTCGCGCTGCCACGAGAAGTCGGACGAACCTGCGGATCGGTGACGTCGTCGTCATGGTAGACGAATCGGTACCACGCGGTGTGTGGCCGCTGGGTCTCGTGAAGGAGACCCTGATGGGTAAGGACGGGCGTGTGCGCTCTGTGAAGGTCCGCGCTCGAGGAACCACGTTCCTGAGACCTGTCACGAAGGTAGTGAAGATTCTGGGCGCAGAAGAGCAGTCTTGGTGAAGCGATGGAGCTGCAGCTACACTGTATAACACAGCATGAGTCTAGCAGCACACCGCTAAGTCATTAACACCGGACACTTAAGATCATGACACGCCACACAGGCTCATGACACAATCACAATGATAGACATCAGGAACGGTGCATGTATAATGTATATAGGATGCGTTCTACTTCCGTGTGTTGATGCTGATCTCAGCGACGCTTGTTTCGGTAGGCTGTGCAGTGTGCCTATGTGTTGTTATATGTATAGTTAAGAAGTTGGTTTTGAACCTGGATGGTTCAAAGGGGGCGGGTGTTAGCGCCGCACGGCCCCCAGCGGCGGTGCCGTTGCGACGCCGCTCAGCGGCGGTGCCCTCCGCCTATGGTTACTGAGCTATGTTGCTATGGTTACCGGATTGTTTGTTTTGTTTACTTTCTTTCGGCTCGATTTTGACAATGTCTGGATAGAATCTGAATAATTACGAAAGATAAAGACGAAAGATGTGATTGATGACTTGCAAAAATGTTGTTTGAGTGAAAAGGAAGAATTTTGACTATGAATTCAAGCATGAACACTGTTCGTTACGCCGGAGAGTGACAATTTGTCGGTAAGCACTAAATCGTACCAAATGTCGGATGTTATTGTGAAGCGCTTTGCTTATTATTCTGAAATTATCGTGATACGACTGAACAATGTTATGATACGGATGTATTTGTCTGGAACTTACCTTGTTTTGTTTGTGTGTATGCGTGTTTTAGTTACGGCTCAAGGCTCCTGGCTCCTGCCTCCTGTTGTACGAGGCTCTGCTGGCGGTACGCGGCTGACTCAGGCTCAGGCCGTTAGCGCTGGAAGAAGGAGGAGGAATGGAGGAGAAAATATAGAGGACTGAGAGCCCGTGAACGACGTTTCTTTTGACGGCGCGCGAACAGAGATAGTATGGAAATAATGAGTTTATCACGGATAGTTACGAGGTTATGGGTCTCGGAGTAAAAACTGATACAACCCACCCCACTCTCCCCTACCTACCGTATGAAGTGTCTCTGGATTGTATGGTGAAAGATAAAAGACAGCGTCGAAGGGATTATCCGTTACCAATCTGGCATGCATGACCGATCTCACACAATCCCTATAATCTCTGAAATGCAGGAAATGTTATGCTATGGTTAACGGATGCTTCGAAATAAATTGTCGGCAAAACTGGTTAGCAGGGAATAATGCCTCACAGTTGTCTGGACTGTAGAAGTTTTAAAGCTCACGTTTCGGCGCTGCGAGGACGGCGGCGTGATGGCTCCGTTCCACCGGTCTGTTTCCCACCCGTTACAGAGTTCAGCTCCACTTTGCAGACTTAAACTTTGAACATCGCTCACTTGGGTGTTTGCTACTTCGCGTGGGGGATGGAAAACGGCCTAACTGTAGGTACTTGTTTTGTCGACGCCTCTTTGAAACCCCATTTGTTATAGTGTTTACTCCCCAAATGAATGATATTACGATTGATTACAGTTCAAGTGCATGCATAGGGCATACCTACGCGTTTCATGGAAAAAAATAATTCCGATTGACAAGAACTCATATCACGTGCCGCACGGTGGGCGCATTTGGTGCAGGCACAGAACACAATCTACACAGTGCACACATGTCGAAAACAAATCACAACAAGCACATTGTAGCTGCTCATAGACCATGCAACGTCTCAGACTGAATCGTTATCCTTTATCAAATCTACCGCGTTTCTCGTCGTTATTTCTGCTTTGAAAAGCACGCCGTTTTCAGCACTGAAAAGCTTGAGAACTGTACCTAAACTAACCCATGCATAGCCAACCATAAACGCTACGGGCCGCCGAGTTTGCATATTTCATTGATTCAGTTGACTTTTTTAAATCCTGCAACCAAACAACGCTAGCCATAAACAAGCAGGAACTTCTGAATCAGTTTCAAATTTCTCTGCAGTTGTTTTTAAAACAACTTTGGTAAGTGTGTTCGTTTCAAAATCCCGACAACCTGCCCCGCCTCTGCATTGCATTGTCGGGAATGGTTATTACCCGTTGAGTGTACAGTTGCATTGCATTTCAAATATGACATGCCCGAAACCAAGTCACTTGTATGTATGAACTCCAATTCCAATCCGTGAACGCGCCACGGCAGAGTGAAAGCTAACCACTGTTGCTTCTCAAAGCTATCGCATTTACGACTATGTGGGAAACGATTCTGCAACGGCAACCGTCACGACTTCCTGAAGATTGAGGCTATAATGAGATCGTCATGCCTATCTTTAGAGCCCAGAATGCCATCGAGGGGTCACCCTGAAGGCCCAATTGGTGTCGTGATCTGAGCTGTCTGAAGGGGCCTTTGGGAGCGTCCAGCCGAGCGGAGACACTCGAGCTGGCTTCCCAGTCTGCCGGTACGATCGGGCCTGTCCCCAGTCAGTCTGGTCCGCCGGCCCTCTCCAGGCCGTCACTGATCTGACAGGTCCTGTTCGTGTACAACCTGCACCGCTTGTTAGCAGGCACCGCGCGGTGTTCGATGCTAATCCCCCGCCCGTTCACAGGCCGCCCGCCGGCCGCCGGCCACCGATCAAGCCACTCTTCAGTGCCGCCCCTCACCCGGGATAAAAGGCCGAGGCGGAGCGATTGGTCCGCGTCCCTCTCCCTCCCTGCCTCCCCGGCTGTCCTCTGTCCCCTGCACCCGGTGTCAGCCCAAACCCACTCGACACGGCAGCTGGCGACGCGCAGCCGGCAGTTTCACACCTCTTTGAATCACAACGATCATCTTCCGCTCTGGCGCCCCCGACGGGCTCCCGGCTTTCTTTTTCACCCGCTCCCGGACCGAGCCCGGCTCTGAAGGGTCTCAGGGGAGCAGTGTAGCCGGACAGGAATGTGAAGAGCACCGACCAACTGGAAACGATCCCACCTCAGTGCGCCCCGGTGACGGCTGAATCAGAGAGCCGCGCAGTTTCCAGAGCAATGGCAATTCAGAGTTTGCCGAGATAAGTTTTCCATGTCCGAATGGTTAGCGTGAACAGAGTGCTTGCGGAGCTCGGAAACTTTGTGTTATATTAGCTGGGGCTATACTTTGTGACTTATGTATTTGTATTTGAAGTTCACATTTCTCATGTGGTTTGCGCTTGATTTACGTTTTTGTTAGATACTTTACATGTAATTTCACATCTTGACGTTAAATAGCACGAGCAATAGACCGCCTACCATCTTGTACATTTTTCTCTGGCAATTATGTAATGAAGCCGGACAATTAAATAATCAAGCTAACTGCAGCAGCTAGAGTAATGATGGCCACCTATGGGCGTCAGCCTTATGTGCTGGGCGTGCATGAAATACACGGTAAATTGCCGACTGCAGGGCCGGCCGGCCGGCGCCGCCCGGGCCACCGGCGCTGATATGCAAATTGTGGCGCGTCTGCCATCAGTGGTTACTCTTCACAGCTCAGAGAGCCGGAGGAGAGGAGGACGGACGCACTCGCTTTTGTTAGCTTGACATACACTGAAACAAAGGTAGATAGGATCTGTGACAAATCCAGGGGGAGCTTGAGGCAAATGCCCTTCCCCGCAGCGCCAGACTTCCCGAAATTACGTTAAAAAAGGCTCAAAACGACAAACAGCGCAAAAAGAATCAGAATCCGACATTTTTTTAATTTGAAGAAACCATTTTCGGGTTCACCTCCCCCCCCCCGCAGCGGCTAAGACAGCCTTTCTGGATCCGCCAGTGGCTGGAATGAACGCATGCCCTCTATAACATACTGAGAGATTAATTATCAAATTGAGCGTTATTGGGAGATCTGAGCGTCACGCTACACATTGGTACTGGCATCAGTTTTAATTTGTATCTCCCAGGGACTGTCCCTTGGTATTTATTTCGTGCCCCTCATATATTGGTGGCGCCGGAGGGTCTGTGTTTTCCCGACCGGGCTCTGCCAAATACTCACCAGCCGTCCGGAATGCCAAACCATTCAGTCTTGATTGGATTCCCCTGTTTACTTTAGTCTTCACGTAGGGGAAATGACAGCACAATTGAAAATCAAACGATACCGTCTATAGGGGCCTCTGGCTCCGATCAATAGTTCTCTTATCTCTCTGCCGCTGTCAGATCAGCGACTTTTTAGGCTGCTGAATAGCCACGCCAGACTGTTTATATCCATGATAAATAAGTCCGAATTGCCGATTTATGGCGCCGTGTTACCATATCCAGCGAGGGGGAGCGGCGGCGCCCATAGCCCGCCGTCCCGTCAGAACCGAGAGGGAGCTGACGGACGGCCCGGCGACCCACCGCTCGGCCCGCCGATGTGTATGGATATGACAAGATGTATGGATATTCCCGTCAGACAGCCAACTCTGTCACGTGATGGGTAAAATCTCATTTTCCTGCTGCACCAAAGCACACATCCTATTACAGTTGAAGGAGACGAGATGGTGCTTTTATTGACAGCATAGCCAGCTTTACGGAAAATAGCGAACGAGGGGCTTTGATAAAATAACAGTTCATTTCGGAGGCAAAGGGACGCAGCGAAAGCGGGTGGAAATGGAAAGATATTGATTGATGTTTTGACGATAGCGAAGAATAAGGCAAAAATATATCTCATCTTCGCTTTCAATTAATTCAACTCAAGGAGCACACACTTTCTTTACGGAGAGCTTGATGAGGAGCACTTCACTATAATAAGGAAAAATTTCGAACAGGGCAGCGCTTCCCCTTGAGCATTTTTTTATTCAACTTGAATTTCATTTCAGCTACTTGAAGAGTGAATGGTGATTGGTGCCCATACACAACCACCTGATAGGTATTTGACAAATGGCGACAGCATTCATACAACGGCGTGGCGAAACCAGCCTTGCAAGCTTTTTCAATTTTCTTAGGTCCGTCAATACATTGGATTTCCAGCGGGCCATTTATAACGGCTTCTCTGCACAACAAAGCCCTCTGGGGCGGATAATTTGTCACTGGTCCGGGCCAGGAGGCGTGAGTCCCGCTCCGGCGCCGCCGGCGGGGGATCGAGCGGCCGTCAGAGCCGCGGCGCGCCGCGCTAAAGTGGCCGGCTCCCTCCATACAGCTGCGACCATTAGTCTGACCGACCGGTACTGCCACTAGCCGCCGGCCGTCGGTCAGTACTTCTCACCCGCTCACCCCCATCGGTGGGAGATTACCGTCCCCGCCCCGCCTTCCCCCCCCCATGCGTCGGCTGACCCGTGGCGCGTCCTGGCAGTGCACCCAGAAGTCTATGGCGTTACCATTTCTGGTCACATGATACATCCCTTCATTGCAATTGTCACATGGCGTCTGCCACCATACCATTCCAGAAGTTGTTTCGGGTTGAGACAGACCTAATCTAGACCGATGCACAATGACCGTCTGTGACTAAAAGCACGGTGTTCCAACCATACAGATCTCATGTAGCACGGTGCACTCCAACAATGCAGATCTCCTGTAGCACGGTGCTCCAGCCTCGGTGCTCCCTGCACCACCCACCTCCCGCGGGGGCGTCGTCCACCGATATTAATCGACGGCTCAGCGCCGTCGGCTCAGGCCCCGGCCGGAATTACTCATCCCCTTTGTACTCCGGGGACGGGTTATCATCGCCACGGCGCGGCGGTGCCTAGATTCCTACCGTAGTGACCGGTCACCCCTGGGCCATTGTCAGAGGTTTCAGCAGCGGCGGCGGGAGGTGTCCAGTGCTCCGAGATCGGGTCTGGTGGCAGATGCACACGAACTGACTCAGCAGTTGAAAATGCGGTGGTGTCGCATGTCTCCTTTTGTCAGCACTGAGTGCTTTTGATTGTTCAATGGATAGGAATGTGCATGTAAGTACATCAAATACCTACTCATTCCTTATCCTTTTTTGAAATTCGGCCATATTGGAAGTTTTTAGATTGCTGTTGTTGGCACTTATTGTTG